AACCTTTTTTACAGGAACTCGGTTGTTACGCAGACGGTTTGTCGGGTCGGTGGTGGAGATGCCGAAGAATTTGCTGGAAACAGCAAGACCTCAGTAGCCGGAAGCAACGTGCCTACTTTTAGAACCACGCGTCCTGATAATTTGAAAACTTGGACTGATTATGGAAACTTTGACAGAAATCATAAGAAACCAGTTGTTGGATCCAAAGCTGACGAAAATGGTATTGTTAGTCATGGGAGTGCTGCCACAACTTTAATTTCAAAAGCTAACGAAGTAGATGGGACCATCGGCAAACATATCAAGACCGCCGTATGTGATAAGCCTGAAACAGGTCAATTAAACCAGGAACTACTGACAAAATATCTCATAGAACAGTATGATAGATTGGGTAGACGTTGTTCCTATGATACCAGAACAGATGCTGATGTAAAAACATCCAGTTCTACAGATGGAGAATTAGTACACGAAGCAGCAGAAGAACTGAAAGATGCTGGAAAAAAAGAAATGAAAACAGACAAAGGGAGGCCGAATTTTTTAACTGTAAGTTTAAAGATTGTGTAATTAGTTAAGATTATTAATAATACTAGCAAATTATTGATTAATTTTATCCGGATTAGTTTTAGAAGAAACTTAAAACTATACTTAAAGTCCCGACATGGAAGAATAAGGTTATCGATAGAGTTCAGCTAATAAACAATCAAAAGTACTTTTCTTTTTTTAAATAAAAACCAACAAAACAAACCCGCATTCTGTCCAAATAGTATTCAGATCGATCACAAATTGTGGCCATTTAAAATTTACATCGATATCTTTCGACTTTTGCACATTAATTTGTCTGTAAGAGGTTATTTCTAAAGGGCATTAATCACAATTTATCTTTTCATAAACGGGTGTGATTACTACTAACAATCTTTACATTAAACTAGTAGTATGGCTTGCTGTCCCTTTAAAGAGCATTATAAATACTGATTTAAAATAAGAAACAATATTATGTATAACGCTATTGTCGTTAAGACATTAAAAATAAAATGGTTTTTTTTCATTGCAGAAATTATGGCGCAGAATCACAACAAAACCTAACGAAAAGGCAAGTTCTAAAAAAGGTTAGTTTTAAATAATCACACCTGTCGTATTAATGAAAGATAATATATTATGTAAGAATTAAATGAAGAGCTGACTGTTCTGGCTATAATAGTTCAAAGATATATTGAAAATGTCATTCAAATTACTTTATTCTAAGCGAAGTTATGAGTGTTGGACGATATTGCGTCGGTTGTTTATTATCCTAGCAACGGTACTGGACAAACCAAACTTAGTCTCGATTATCCATTTTATCGCTAAATTTTTAAATCTCGCGGACGTCCTAAGCAAAAGTAAAGACCCACAATAGGCTTCTTCAGGTCTTACATAATGCACCTTTAATATACCTACCATACTTCTCTTTTGAATACATCCGAAAATTTATTTTCTCATCTATTTAACTTGGACGGAAACAACCCAGTATTATAACACCTTCTTAAGGTATAAAAACAAAAATTAGGACTACGATTATGGCATATTATGTACATTTGTTTATATGTAAAATAAAAATTATATTTCAGAAAATGAAGTTAATGAAACAGTAAAGAAACATTCCAGATTTTCACCTTTTCTCTGCAGTCGCCAACCTAAAACCATGTTATAAAGACTAGATTATAGATCATCGCAATCCAATTAATGCCAAGTTATTACAAAATAGTCTACATTTTATAAACTAAACTTTATTTTACTTTTATATTTAAAAACACAACACAATTTATATGGAAAAACAATCACTGGTTAATACACATATAGCACGACGTTTCGACAAGTATTCTCTTATCGTTTTCAAGTACACACAAATCATTTGTACTTGATAACGATAAGAGAATACTTGTCGAAACGTCGTGCTATATGTGTATAAACCAGTGATTGTTTTTCCATATAAATTGTGTTGTGTTTTTTAATGTGCACAATCACTAAATGCCACTCAAGGATTATAAGTTTTATATTTTATGTTTATTTTTCATATTACATATTTGAAGAGACGTATTTAGATATGTTTGTTATGAATACATACAAATACATTAAAAAAAAAAGAACCGATGTGCCTTTTTTAATAAAAAAAATATAAATATTTACATTATATTTTATATGTTTCTTTTGTTTCCGTTTTTATTTTTAAAGAAGCTTTGGATCTTTTCATATCCTGGTGGGTCGATTTGCCGTGTTCTGTAGACTATACAGTGGTAATGGTATTGTTTAAGTTAAAGCATTCAAAAATTGAAGCAGGTCTTTCAATCCATCGCCGATATATAGCCCTTTTTAAGATTTTGTGCCAGACGTAAGCATTAAGGGGGGTTGGGATGGCCTAGTGGTATAGAGTGTCGATAAAAAAAAGTTTTTTGGCGGATGGTATATGTAGATTCTGAATTTTGATGCCACCCTGATAACCATGGGAAAATGTATATATTCAAAGTGGAAGCCATTAGGCATGTCTGGTTATTTAGTACGGTAAAATTCGTGACCAATTCTCGGGAACCTCGGTCTAAAGATAGCTTCCATAAATTCGACCCACTGGATCCAATGAACTTGTATATCCCGCACAAAAGTGACGGCTGATTCCGCTAGATGCCAAATTCAAATTGGGGGCTCATTTTGGCGGGAAGGTTGCGGAACGCTAAATATTTATAATTAACAACCGTGGCCTCTTTAACTGTGATAATTAAGTATGCTCTGTAGTTTACTTGTGAATGGCCGCAACACTGAACTAAAAGAATCCACAGCACGATACATGTTAATTTGCAGATTCATGTATTCGAATTCGGATTTGAAAATCTTAAGGGAACAAACAGAATTATAGATTTGGATTTGCAGTAAAATCCTCGACTGATTGACTGGTGATGCTTTTATTGTGGGAAATAAACAATCTTCATGTGTGACATGAACTGACTTCAAATCCCGCTCAATTCAAACATCGTTCCAGTTGTAGATGTATTATGTAAGAACTAAATCTGCCTATAGCAGGTCTTTATTTTGGCTTCAAATGTTGATTTTAATTAGACGTTTATTCACATGAAAAGTCCACAATCAACTCGTTAGACCAGGGCATAATTACCAGATGCAAAATGGGCTAGCGCCAACCCTCACCCAAGATCTAACCCTGTGCATTACTCTAACCCTCACCCACAATCCTCGGCAACAATCACGTGCCCTAACCTTGTTTACATCCCAGCGACCTTGAAGAATTATGCAATTAGCCACGTAAAATAGATCTAACCCCTAACGCTGTCACGCTAACCGGAAGGTTTCGGCATCGCTCCCCTAGTGCTTTCCCAATGTCAGTGGTGCAGGACGGAGGGTCTGGGAGGGACAGCTGTCTAGTTGTTCGAATGGGAGGAAACCCCGAGGTACAGTCGTGCACGTAAAAGAATCATTGCAAGTTCGAATTTGATATAAGTGTAGGTCGTAGCGACGCTCTCTGGGCAGAATTTCCCTCATTAACACAATCGGTGCAGAAAACTAGGACGCTAAACCTGATTTCATAAACGAATATAAAAACCCTGTAGGCCTTTATTTAGCATTGGCCTGCAGCATATGAATGCATGACGTATTGTACTGACAAATATCAATACAAAAAATATATCCAGCTATTAAGATTGCCACCCTATCATCCTCGCTTTACCGAGGCTGCACCACAATTGCGAGGTCAACGCTTGCTCTTTCAAATTAGTAATGGTTTATTGTTCATTTCTAGAGGCAATGAAATGGGGTTTTACTTCTTAATTCTCTGTGCTATAAAGACGTGCATGCGCCATGCACTGTGTAGCCTAATGGAGGAAATTGTGCCCGGACATCGGCATTTCCGCCTACTCTTCATCAAATTCCAACTGTCAAGGGCTCTTTTCCGTCCACAACAACGAGAACACGGATGGCCATCGGTTATCGTTCCATCTGAACAACTAGACGCCTTTTTCTTGTCTGAACTTTTTGCTGCAACACTGAAAAGGCATGTGTGTCAAGTGGTAGGGTAAATGGACCTTATATTAGAATGTCCCAGGCCTGGGCCTGTCGGGTTGAAAAGTACCGTGTTGACGAAACGTTTAATGGCGGAAAAAAGGTGGTCCACCAGTGTACACATTGGTATTGACGTAAAATAAATAAAAGAGAGAGATCGAGATGGGGTTTAACGTCCACTCGACACAGACTACGTCATTTCGGGACTAACATATGGATATGGTATAATTTTATTTTAATAATTCGCTTGAGCGTAGGGATATTTAACAGTGGGAGGACCCGGAGAAAACCCGCGAGGTTGGACAGGCAACCCTACTACTTGTCACGTACAACCGGGGATTCGAAACCACGCCAGTTGCCCAATGACAGGTTTCGTGATACAGCGCGCACGTGCTAACCATTCGGCCATCCAACCCCCCGTAAAACAAATAAATGAAATGTTGTTGTTTGTTAGTTGTATTTTACGTCCGCTTCCACCGAGGTGATATCGCAGACAAATGCAATTCGATGTATAGGCCTAGTATTTAACAGCGAAGCTAGCTACATATTAGATATATTTCTCTGAGTAGGCACAACTTTTGAGTTGTTGAAAAGGGCTAGAATCAAAGAAAATATTTGTCGTTCTGGGGCAGGGCAAGTGACAGAGATGCTGTCGCGGTTATCAAAAACAAAATGATAATTTTATTAATTTTCGTCAAATTGCATAATTTAAATGTCGCCCTGTACACCTGTCTGTAAGGTCATTTCGATACTGTATATTCGAATGTCTAGAACTTACCCGTGAATTTTACAAGTTTAGGGGGCGGGAACTCACTACCTCTGCAATGACCACAATAACTTCTTGCTGCGCCACTGGTGGTGGGCCTAATCACTCGGGAAAAGATAAGTCTTCATTATTTGTATACAGTTATCTCCCTTTCAATGTCACCTGGGAGTTTTACCTGCCATACCTGAGCCTCGGTGTCATCTAATTGACCTAAAAAGACGCCATATTTGAAAGGTAAAATGGCGGTGGCAGGCCATAGGAAGACCATGTATACTTTATTTATTTTAATTCTTTGGGTTCATAATTCAGGTAAGTAGTCAAATTCAACACCTGCCTTAATAGAAAATATACCTATGAAAGGAATTAAATCCTGACAATGTTTTAGAATTGCTCTGTCTTAAAATCATAGTTTACTTTGTCATTGGTGTTTATTATTTACGAATGGGTTATAAAATTATTAGTCATCGGCAAAGAATTCCTCAAATTCAGTTATATATTAGGGTATTTCAGGAAATTGTTGGAGATGGGAGGATAGAATGAAACATGTACTTATGTAGTAACAACACTAAAGAAGGGTTTGTAGTATTGGTACTGTCAATGCCCAATCAAATAAAATCATGTTTTTTGGAGTTTTTTTTTTACACATTTGGCCATGAAAATAATCCAACCTGTAAACGAATACATCACTTTCATGCTCCTCATCCTTCAGATTTAAACACAAATATTTAGGTAGGGCCTATTGATCGAAACTATATGGAACAGACTGTCAAATAATAATAACCAAAGAGAAAGTTCTGTAAATTATTTCCCTTGTAAAAATCCTAAATGTTAGGAGTGGTACATGTAGCTCTCTTCATACATGTAAATCGTTCGCCCCTATACTTTTTATGTTTGGGGCAAAAGGGTCTCATCGGGTTACAAACGGGGAGGTACAGGGTTCGATCCCAGTCTTAAAGGGACAATAACACTCTTGCTGGCTTGAAAGCTCCAGAAAATAAATAATATCTCTATCTAAGTACTAGATGTTTAAGTGTCCTACCTGTTGTGTAAATTATCCATTACATCCTATTTTACTTGTCCAGAGGGTTCCAAAATATTTTTAAATCGAAGTTTCATTTGAAAAGGTTTACGTTAGACGTTTCAAACCATTATGTTGAATTTTTCAAAATTTTTAAGTAAGGTGTGTTAAGATGAAATTTGTATCATCAATTAATTGAAATATTCTAAAATAGTACAATTTGTTGACCAGAATAAAGATTGGGACATATTATTCAGTTACAACAAGAGTGGTATTGAGCTGTTTAGAGTGTATGTAGCAAAAAAGAATTTTGTATTGTAATGGTTGCCATGCCTTGAACTTATTTTACCTCTTCCGTCCACAGAACAAGCCTGTCAAATACCAAAAGAATATGGTGGTGATTGGTACTCCATGGAAACTGGTGTGGATACCCTTACTCTAGTAGATGAATCTAAATTTGGTAATTTAGAGTGTATTGAAAGATTCACTCATAAAAATGAGTACAATGTTGATGGTGTTAATTCAACTATGTTGATGAAGGTTAAAGAAGGGTAAGTTGTATCAGTTTTCGTATCTTCACAACTAAGGAATAAATGAAATGGAATGGGGTTTAATGTCTTACTATCACAACTAAGGTGTCGCCAGAATGTTTTAATTGGGCAAAAGGGGGGGGGGGTCAGTGACAATGGTGATCGCTTAGTGGCGAGGAGGTCCAAGATTGGTTGAAGGTGCTGGGGGGGGGGGGGGGCGATGGTTAGCTTGTGTGCGCTGTATCATGAGCTCTGTCATTGAGTCAGCTGGCGTGGTCTTGATTCCCCAGTTGTGTGTGGCAAGGCGTAGGGTTGCCTGTCAACCTCGTTGGTTTTCTCCGGGTCCTCCGACTTCCTCCCACTGCTTAAGACCCCTATGCGCAAGCAAATTATTGAAATTAAATTGAACCATATGTTAGGCCCAAAATAACTTTGTTTACGTCGAGTGGACATTAAACCCCATCTATCTCTCTTTGATCTCTCTCTCTCTCTAGTAGGCCGTTAAACCCCATTTCATTTCATTTCATTCTCTGATATTGGTGCTGATGGAGAAAATTCCTTGGTGTTATCAAGCTTTATTTTCAATTTTGGTTTTAATGTGGCAAATTATTATATTGATGAGAGGCTGTAACTGGGTCACTTTAAAGTGGATACACTGATCTGCAAGTATCAAGCTAGGAAATCAGGCACCCGTAGAAGACAGTGTCCCAGCAAAAATATAGGCATTGTCAGACGCAATCCTTCTTGTGCCTGATATTTTGTCCGGAACAGATTTGTCTTTTTTTTATAAGCCCACATTTTCATGTGGACGTATATTGTTGTCGCCCCTGTCCGTCCGGACGTCCGTATGTCTGGACGTCCATCCGTCCGTCAACAATTTGTTTGTGGACACTCTACAGGTCACAATTCTTATCCGATTTTGACAAAACTTGAAATATAGGTTTATCGCCAAAAGATCTCGGCTGCTTTCGATATTGGCATGTATCGGATCGAAACTTCATGGATTATGGCCCCTGTTTGTACAGAAAATCACGTTTTTAGCTTGTGGACCCAATAGAGGTCACAATTTTTATTCGATTTTGAAACTTGAAATGTTAGTTTATAACCTAAAGATCTCGGTTCTTTTCGATATTCGCGTATATCGGACTGTAACATCCTGAATTATGTCCCCTGATTGTACGAAAAATCACGTTTATAGCTTGTGGACCCTATAGAGGTCGTAATTTTTATCCGATTTAAAAAAACGTATTATTATATCACCGTTACACCCTAAGGATGGCTGAGTTCGAATTTCGTGAAAATCGGCCCACAATTGACAGACAAAATGGTCGCCATTCGTTCTCAACTAGCGTAAAAATATGGTATATCAAGGTTGTGGACCCTATAAAGGTCACAATTTTTATCCGATTTTCTTGAAACTTGAAATGTAAGTTTATAACCCAAAGATCTTGGTTCCTTACAATATTCGCGCATATTGAACCGTAATTTCCTGAATTATGGCCCCTGATTGTACGACAAATCGCGTTTTTATCTTGTGGACCCTATAGAGGTCATAATTTTTATCCGATTTAATAAAACGTATTATTATATCACCGTTACACCTTAAGGATGGCCGAGTTTGAATTTCGTGAAAATCGGCCCCAAATTGACAGACAAAATGGCCGCCGTCCGTTCTCAAATAGCGTAAAAATATGGTATATCAAGGTTGTGGACCCTATAGAGGTCACAATTTTTATCCGATTTTGTTGAAACTTGAAATGTAAGTTTATAGCCCAAAGATCTCGGTTCATTTCGATATTCGCGCATATCGGACAGTAACTTCCTGAATTATGTCCCCTGATTGTACGAAAAATCGCGTTTTTAGCTTGTGGACTCTATAGAGGTCATAATTTTTATCCGATTTAAAAAAACGTATTATTATATCATCGTTACACCCTAAGGACGGCTGAGTTCTAATTTCGTGAAAATCGGCCTCAAATTGGCAGACAAAATGGTCGCCCTTCGTTCTCAAATAGCGTAAAAATATGGTATATCAAGGTTGTGGACCCTATAAAGGTCACAATTTTTATCCGATTTTGTTGAAACTTGAAATGTAAGTTTATAAACCAAAGTTCTCGATTCCTTTCGATATTTGCGCATATCGGACTGTAACTTCCTGAATTATGGCCCCTGATTGTACCAAAAATTGCATTTTTAGCTTGTGGACCCTATAGAGGTCATAATTTTTATCCGATTTAAAAAGCTGTATTATTATATCACCGTTACACCCTAAGGATCGCCGAGTCTGAATTTCGTGTGAATCGGCCCAAAATTGAGAGACAAAATGGCTGCAGTTCGTTCTCAAATAGCGTAAAAAATATGGTATATCAAGGTTGTGGACCCTAAAGAGGTAACAATTTTTATCCGATTTTGTTGAAACTTGAAATGTAAGTTTATAACACACAGATCTTGGTTCCTTTCGATATTTGCGCATATCGAATTGTAATTTCCTGAATTATGGCCCTTGATTGTAGGAAAAATCACTTTCTTTTTAGCTTGTTCTCTATCCATCTCTCGAAAATGTGGGCGTATCCTGCCTGGCAGCCGCTGGTCTCTGTTTTTATTGATATTATTAAAGGAGCTCAATCGCCATTCTTTGGCACCTGGAAATGGACACAAATGGGTCGCAACACATAAAATAATGTAATATGGTAATGTGAATGTATATAAACTGATTTACATTCAATAGTTTCTGTTTTTACTGTATTTTCTAATCAGTTACGTTCGGCGAAATACGCGAATAGTCTGAGGGATTTATGGGAGGGATTTGGCGCAACGGTTAGAGAGTAGGATTTGTGACCTAACGGTTGCAGGTTCGAGACCCGAATTGTGCGCCAAATTCTGGTGTCCTTGAATAAGACACTTCATCCCTGTATTCCAGTCTACCCAGCTGTAAATGGGTGCCGGTAGTATGGGGTATGTATTACACAAAAAACTGTTGCGCTCCTTAGGCAGCATATGTTGGGGCTCTTTCTAACATTTAAAAAGAGTTCAGGGGTAAAGGGAGGTAATCAGGCTTTACCTGTATCCTAGAGACAGGGATAGTAATTGTGTCGCGCTTTGAGCATAAACTTAGTTTGTGGATATAGTGCATTATAAATATGCACATTATTAATTAAATGGCAGTCTTTGGTGTCTGGTTATTTCAGTCTACACCAACAGTATTCTCCTACATGGGATATGTTTAGCCTCCTTCATTCAGTCACTTCATACAACTGACACTCAAAAGTTTTCTGGAACTTAGTTTGTGTGCCAGAACAGTAGGATATTAAACCCCATTTCTTTTATTGATAACAAAGTTGATATTATCTTATTATTATATTTTTTAGAGAAGGTAACTCCAAATGTTTTCACTGTGTTGATGTTTTGTGGAGAACTATAAACATTTTACAATATAGAAAGAGTAAGTACATCTAAAATTAAAATATACTTTTGTTATACCCAACTTTTTCATGGTAGTGCAACTGTAGTTCAATATGTTTATACAATGAAAGCCATTTAATTTCTTTTCAATGAAACCTCTCCCAGATGAGCTTTACTGTCTCCCGTCTGAGATGTGGAGATCAGCAATACTTGGGAACCCTGAGAGCTCAGTAAGATGCTGGCTAGCTAGACTAGAAGTCTCAGGATCGCTAATGATGTTGGCCGAGAAAGGTCCACAGGATTTTTCGACGTGGTCCTCCCTTGTCATTGATGTAGGATGGTAGGGCCTGGCAAGGGACAACATATAGTTGTTCGGATGGAATGGAAAAATGTGAGCCCGTCCTCACATTGGTGTCCACGTCAAAGAAGCTTTGACAGATGGAATTCCATATTGAAATAGACTGCAGCACAAGTGTCCCGACCAAATTTCCCTCAAAGCACACTACATGGCCTATGCCTGTCTTCAGGACTCGAAGCCTCATTTCATTTCGTTAATCAGCTATAAAAACCTGTAGGCTTTTTATTTCGCATAGGCCTGCAGCATCTTTCATTTTCAATATTACTTTTGCATAACACATATTGTAGTGTTCCATAGCATGAAAATCAATCACATTTCTTTTGGCAGAACAGATAAAATTGTGTTTGTGTTTTTCAGGTGATTGTTTTACAAATAACGGAGGTATTAATATGTGTAGAGGAAAAGACAAACTTCCCGGTGTTGATCAACTCGCTACTTTATTCAGTAAGTAGGCTTACTCTATAGAGCTTTACAGTTTAATTGTGTGTAGGGTTTTTTCTAGGCCTTTTTTGATACATTGTACCATAAACAAGTGTCCAAATTCCAGAATAAAGCTGATATTTTGGATTAAATTTGGGATTAAATTCATATGGTTTAACCACAATTCACAAGACAGCAGAAATTGGATTGTCAAAGCATAAAAAGTATCTGAGATATAGTTGATCGGGATTATTAATGATTTACAGCCTTTGACACGAAAAATGAAAAGAAATAGTTAAAGATTGCAGCGTTTTATACGCCCATAATTTCATATGGACATATTATGCTTTCACCCCTGTTCGTCCATGCCAATGACCATCCACAATTTGTTTGTGGACACTCTACAGGTTACAATTTTTATCCGATTTTGACGAAACTTGAAATATAGGTCAGTCTCCCAACGATCTCAGTTCCTTTTGATATTGGCATGTATCGGACCATACCTTCATGGGTTATGGCCCCTGATTGTATGAAAAATGACGTTTTTAGCTTGTGTAGTCTCTAGAGGTCACAATTTTCATCTGATTTTGATGAAACTTGATATGCATGTTTATAACCCAACGATCTTGGTTCCTTTCGATATTCGCGCATATCGGATTGTAACTTCCAGAATTATGGCCCCTGATTTGTATGAAAAATGGCGTTTTTAGCTTGTGATCCCTCTAGAGATAATAATTATTATCTGATTTACAAAAATGTGTGTATATAACACTGTTACACCGTGATGATGGTTGAGTTCGAATTTCGTGAAAATCGGACCAAACCTGCCAGACAAAATGGCAGCCCCTCGTACGCGAATAGTGTAAACATATGGTATATCAAGGTTGTGGGTTCTCTATTGGTCACAATTTTGATCCGATTTTGATGAAACTTTAAATACATCTTTATAAATAAACGATCGTGGTTCCTTTCGATATTGACGTATATTGGATAGTAACTTTCTGAATTATGGCACTTGATTGTACGAAAAATGGCGTGTTTAGATTGTGGTAACCTATTTTTTACTCAAAAGTGGCCGGATGTTATGGCTGACACCCATAACCATTTTTCAGTCTTATTATTTATTGATGGTTAAATGGTCATAGCTTATTAAGTACAACATAACCGTTTATTAAGTAACTATAAATGTGCGAAACTGATTTAAGGCTTGGTACATGTATATATATATAAATATTGCGGTGTAATTGTCAAGATATTTGGAGATATTTATTTATGGTGGGGCACCCTAACATTTGTTTCTTAAGATAATAGAGGGGTTGGATGGCCAAATGGTTAGCATGTGCACGCTGTATTATAAGGTCTGTCATTGAGTCAACTGGCGCGGCTGCGATTCCCAGGTTGTACGTGAGAAGATGTAGGGTCGTCTGTCCAACCTCGTGGGTTTTCTCCCAGGTCCTCCGGTTCCCCCCACTGCTAAAGACCCCTACATGCAAGCGAATTATTGAAATAAAATTGAACCATATGCTAGTCCCAAAATGACCTGGTTTGTGTCGAGTGGACATTAAACCCCATTTCTCTCTCTCTCTCTCTCTCTCTCTCTCTCTCTCTTAAGATAATATTCTTATATGTAAATTTATTAATCCAAATGATATCCGTTTAATTTCAGGACAAACTATTCAAACAGTGAATTGTATTTCAACGTTTGAAGGTGTTTATCAGTTCACATATGAAGTAAATACAGGAGGTGGTGGTATCTGTAATAGTGAAGAGAGTACTCTCGAAGCTTGTCAAGATCCTGGTTCAGAATACGTAGATAACGAAGTATTTCTCATGAACTATGGTAAATGTCCCGACGTCCAGACATCCAAGAAACAGAGTAAGTTAACATACTAGACACTTTATAATAATATCGATAACTGAACTTTATAATAATATCAATATGCATGGTTATGACGTGCACTATAGGTCATGTAGTTTGTCATAGAGCCAAATAGTGTAGTTTCTATCGCAGGCTCATATGTGACTGGGGATGAGATCTCTGCCTAACCCATCCCAAACTTAGACTGCCTGTCTACAGCTAGCTCCGCCTGAGAACAGGCCCTAAGCTAATTAACCGATATTTTAATTCCTACATCAACGATTTTAGTCGAAAACACTGAGTATGCTTTTAGTAGTTTTTAGAAGTATTTATTTCTCTTCTATTGTCATATTGAATGAAATTAAATATGTTTATTTAGCCGCTGTGTGTATGAAAGATGTCAAACTAATCAAAGCCGAATCACAAAATAGTCCTCTAATTATTCAATATGGCGGCGCCCATAAAAGGTAATTTCACAGAGCGGTTTTGTTTGCGAAGACAAATTTAGGAGTATCTAACCTTGTTTTTAAAGATAAACAGATTGAAACTCTAAAGACAGTTTAGAATGGCAAAGAATGTATTGCAATATTACCCACTAGTACATATTATATAGCCTATAGCTTTTACCGGATTGGCAGAAGTTGACATTTTGCTAAAGACATGTGTTTACATAAAACACATGCGTGCTCGGGTTATTTTTACTCTGTTTTGTACACAAAGCTGTAGTCCGGTCAATAAGTCCCGCCCCAAAATGATCATGTGAGCGTTTTAAATGGTGGCTAATTTGGGCAGTGTTCAAAATGACGTATTGCGTAGATCGATCGCTGCGTGCAGTTTGTGCCTAACCTTGAATAGAAGTTTATAACATAAAAATCCCTAGTTTTTGTTGATGTGAGAACTCTCTATTGCATTGCCATGGTATTATTACCTAAGTGACATGAGATACATCCAGTGTTAATCGAAAATAGAATTTGAACACAGAAGATGTGATATTTTTTATTCCAAGAAATGATCTGATAATCACTGATGTTTTGTCCGTATATGCTAGAATGTCTGCCTGTTCTGACTTTTGCTATTGTTAATCCAGTCCAAATACTTATCGGGATTTCTAACTATATTCTACCTTGTTTAACATTTATTTAAAAATTTAACCACCATTCAAAATATAATAAGTGCTAAAAAATGACATTAAAGTAGATTCGTTATGACATTCTACCATGTTTCATATCTTATAATTTCTTGCAAGAATTCTACTTTGGTTTTTAGTTAAATTAACCAATCATAAAAATGCTACTTGCAAGTCCGAAATTATTTCTTTATTGTCCATTCAATAGACACCTTCCAATTTATTTTGTTCTTAGTAGCATTCTGTAATTGTAAAATTATTGCCATATGCCACGTACGACGGGAAACCAAGTATTGTCTTGTATATTATCGTAGATATTGAATTAAAAAATGGTACAAATGAACCAAATTAACCAGGTAATCAAATAACTCTGGCCTTAGAGAGTTTAAATTTTCATTAAGAATTGTGCATTTCTATGAAAAGTTTCCTGAAATTTTTGTTGGAGTAATGCCTTTTAGGCAAGTATTGCGTGGGTGCAAGTAATGGCTTGCACCTCCTGACAAGGTCTGTTTTAAGTTGACAATTGATACTGAACGGTTAAACTGTTAATAGCTATGGTTATTTGAATAACAAACAGTAAGTATAGCTATAAGATATCGGTGTATGAGAAGTTGGTTTGTGGTTTTGTGTATTTATAGCTATAAGATCCAGTGTATGGGAAGTTGGTTTGTATATTTATAGCTATAAGATATCAGTGTATGGGAGGTTGGTTTGTGTATTTGTGTTTTGTGCATTGGTAGCTATAAGATATCAGTGTATGGGAAGTTGGTTTGTTTATTTGTGTTTTGTGTATTTTTAGAAATAAGATACCAGTGTATGGGAAGTTGGTTTGCTATGGTTGGTTCAACTGGTTACACCTATGCTGCTATTGCTGATACAGTAGAAAAGGACCGAAGAGAAAGATTTAAATGTTTGGTTAGTAGAAATTATTACTAAAGTCAAACAATTCTAGAAACTAAATGAACAGAATGACAGAATACATCTTAGTCATAAGCCCAAAAACAGTGAGGTTGTTAATATAGCAGTTGACGGGACCGAAGGACATTGTCCTTTAGGTAGGAATACGCCAATCTCGCGGGGGTTTTAGTGGACGGTGGCGTTGTGGATGAATACGTGCGCATGAAATCACAAGGTCTGTCTTTGAGTCAAGTGGCTTGGTTTTTGACTTCTCACTTGTATGTGACAAGGAGTAGGATCGTCTGTCCTACTTTATGGATTTTCTCCGGGTCCGCTGTTTTTCTCCCACTGCTAAAGACCCCTAAATGCTAGCGAATTATTGATGAGTCAAGATATCACCGGACACCATGGACATGATTTATGTAAAGATTGTAGCTGCGATAGTAATTGAACTTTTTGTAAAACAGCATGGTGTAGTTATCCTGTAGGGTTACAGGAATATTAAAGATACATTATGGGAGATTAGATAAAGAGCTGGCAGTTCTCACTATAATAGTTAAAATCTAGATAATGTAAAGGGTATTTGCTGAAAATTTTGGACCTAGAATTGAATGTTCAGCCTAGCCTCGATCATCATTACTAAAGTTGGTACGATAAAAAAACATAGTCTCGATTATCCATTTCATGATTTAATCATGAATGAAAGTTGAGCAGCAAATCGGATCCTAATCAAGTAAATATCACAGGCTAGCGTTGACATCGAGAGTTGATTATTGTCTGAATAAGTTAATTAATGTCTAATTAATAATTTAAATAACATTTCAGACCTAAAGAAAGACCTGCAATAGGCAGATTTAGCTCTTGCATAATGTATATTTAACACCTGTCAAAACAATATAATATTCAATAGTGATTACTTATATAACACCTCTAAAAACAACAATTATAATATGCTAATCAATCTGATAATTGAGGTTTTAGGTCTATATAATGATTACAAAAAGATGGACAGTTTAGAAAATAATATTGCATTGATTGTCAAATAAGTTTCAGTATGCATTTTAACCCACTAGTCAGTGTGTTATGGTTTTGTGTTTTCTCAGTGTTGCAATATTCGTGCACTGTTGGGTCTAATGTTGCCATTCTTTATATCGATAAATAATTTGTGTAGTCTTATTTTGTAGTTGACATTGAAAAATCAAAAATCACCTGATAACAGTATTCGTTGGGTGATGTCAAGATTTGCTGATTGCAGTAAATTAAACAGTTTGTACAATGGTCCAGTCAGATTGGTTCTACGACTGAGTAAGTACATTACGTGTATTCTTTATAAGTGTAACTAGTAAATTTAAATCAGGCCTTAATAATGTCCTTGGTTTAATGCAAGACTGGATGATCCAAGCATAAGGTTAAAGATTTTGCAAGTGTAGTTCTCATCTGTTTCAATCTATAATCAAAAGTAGATTACAATTTTGCTTTGATTATTTGTTCTGGTTTTACACTGTATTGTAATCTAACCCATTTAGACCAGATTGCAATCTAACCCATTTTAAACTAGATTGTAATCTTACCTATTGTTGCATTACATTGTAATCTAAACTATTGTTACACTACATTGTAATCTAACCTATGAGTGCCCCTAACCAAAAAATTAATTGGAAAAATTATAAGTGAAATTCCTACATTATACAGGCAAAAGGATATCGTCCTAATGTTGCACAGGCCAGTACCATTTAAAAAAAACTACTGATGGATATTTAATTGTACATAAAAGACAAATATTTGATTTAAATACATTTTGGGTAGAGAAGTGATGATATGTTGTCAGGAAATTTAAAACAGGTTATAAACTGCTTTATTTCAGTTCCACCATTGTCTAAATACACGACACCACAATGTAACTTGCCACGTAATATATCAGGATCATGGTTCACGCAGGGTTTACAGTTCCGTTCAGATGTAACACTCAATGAGACTCATATCTATTACTTTACACAGAAGAATCAGTTTGAATATGAAGAGACATACTTGTCATGTCAGCAAACCCTCGGAACAAGATATCTCATGACTAAAGTCATAGTGGGAAAATGGTAAGTTAGGCCTGTGGGATTTATGTGGGAATAGCTGTAATGCACAAATGGTGTATGCCATTCCTACCAAAAATAAGATAATTGTGCAGTGAGGTATACTCTTCAAAAACAGTAGGGGATATTCTGAAACAATACAAAACTGCAGAAATTCACTTCTGTTTTTATTAAGAGGTAACCAGTGTTTGTTAATAACAGGGCAATTGCCTGCACATGAACATAAACAGTTCAAATAGGCGGCTTATCTGACGGCCCCAATTTCACTCACAAAGAGATACACCGTTTTTGATTTTGGTCTTAATAATGAGTAATTGCTCCACCAATCCTCAGACATTAAAGACCACATAAGATTAAAAATCTTAAATGAATGTACTTATAGCCAATGGTTACTATATCCATTTTACGGAAAGTTCAAACCAATCTGATTAAAATTAATTCAGCTATTGACGTTTAAGTATCGGAAAGCCAAAAACGGTTTTCAAATTTTCAATTACAACCTTAATCGGGTTGATTGGCTGGTGACGTCACAGGCACTACATTATCTATACAATATCTCACCACCAATTGACAAGTGTTCACGTGTCGGTCCAATTAACATGTGACTGGCATAATCATAATCAAAGAATTATCGTCTTGTGTTGTTATAGATTAGACTTTTGTGAGTGGAATATTTTAGAGTGAATTTAAAAAGCCGTATCATGCCGTAGATCCATTTAAGGTGCCATTGTTTAAATAGGCCCCCTTGTCTGCGATATCACCTCGGTGGAAGCGGACGTAAAATACAACTTACAAACAACAACAAATAGGCCCCGGGATAACTGAAGACGACTAAGCAATTGGCGCATTTACCGGTAATTTGGATAACCCCGTAATACTTGATATCCCAAACTATTCTCTATAAGTACAGAAATACAAATGGTGCCAGTCAATTTTAGATATATTCATTATTAGCTATACCATTTCTATACACAAAGAACAACTTTTATCGTAACTCCATTTGAAATTCACAGCGAATATGGAATTTTCCGATGACCATGCATAGATCGCCCTCATTTCTCAGCCAATCAACGCCAGGAATCTTATTGCCATGTACGGTTCCATGCACTACGGGCGTAGTAACTGAGGTTAAACTTTGGTGCGAAAATTGCATGGGATTCATGGTCATGAATATCAAATACACTTGATCATACGCGGAGTTCTTGATGCCGTTTGGTTTGGTATAAATAACATAAACCCAAGTACGAACAATCCAAACCATTAGACGAAATTCGAAGTCCTAAAATTCGTATTTCATTTTTACAGTCTATTTCAGAGTAATGAAGTCAAATCCGCCGTACGATGATAACGGATCGTCATTTACAAATCGCTTTTCAATCATGTTTGACTTTTATGATACATTTTGCATGACCACATCTTTTTACTCCTGTACTCTTTAACTCGGGGAAATTAGAACCACAATACTCTTTTGACGAAAATGTATCTCGAATCGATTGGACTGCACACGATGTTAGAGGGTATTAAAATTGGATTTTAAATTAAAATGAATTACAAAACAAATTATTCCGTAGTCAATTGTTTTATTTAATTAGGGGGATTAAGGAACCAGTCAGGCGTTAACGAATACACACGCCGGCTATATATAGGTAATTAAGGAATAAACATTCACTGTGACGTCACTGGCGTCTGAGGGGATTAAGAGTGTTTTCGATAATTGGCAAAGTTGTTTTTAAGGGAGGTCTATTTTTATGACTTTGAGTGAAGATAACTGAATTAATTTCAATCAGATTGGTGTGAACTTGCCGTAAAGTTGATATAGTAACCATTGGCTACACATATCCAAAAGTTCCCAAACCCATCTTATGTGCACTTTAAGCAATTCGTCATGGCATGCTCCTAATCAACCGTCCAATCACGATTTGGAGCAATCTGACCCACCCCTCTTGCAGTGCCACAGCCAATTCTTGTTGTCGGTTCACATTGACAAACACGTCTCCCGATCAAATCAAACGTAACACACTAAAGCAAAGATACGCTAAACAGTAAATCTTATGCAAGAACCGATAGGAAAGCAAACATGGATAGATAAACCAGCATGCGGCATTTTTCATCAACCCTTCCTTGAAGTGTCAAATTTGACATTAAACCCATCCACGTGTATGGCGCTATTTCATGTCGCAAATGCAGCTCAGTGGTTCTGTTAGGGGCGATAAGTTCTTCATCTGTGAACATACCCACAAAGCATTCAAGTGTCCATGACCATTTATCATATCACAACCTGCATAAGTATTGGCATTTCAATATCCCCTACTTTTTTTGAAGAGTATATAAGAAAATGGCAATGATAGTTTCCATCCATAAAGCAGTAGAATTGGCTGTCAAGTGTATTTTTCCCCAAATGATTAAAAGGGACATACTTGCATTTAAACTCTCCAGTTGCAGATCTATTATCCTATAGACTAAAAACAATTTTTGTCCCCTTCGAAAGGCAGGAGCCTATTAAAATATGTTCGTTCCTCTCTCTGTCCTTCCATCCGTCACAGTTTTTGGGACACAATAACTCTCCTTCTAATTGAGCTAGAATGTTCAAACTTGGTGTAGGTGTTTATTAGGTCAATACCTTGTAAACCTTCATGTATGTAGTTACTACGTGTCAAAAGAGTGTGGGGCGGGGTTATGGTTCTGGTCTAAGGAAGGTCACTTTGGTTTTCTCCCCCTGTGCAATCAAAGTATTGAAATAGAAATAGAAAAACACTATTCATTAATGGTTATGCTCAAAGCAAAATACAGTTACTAGCCTAGACTCGGTGATACACATAAAACCTGATTATCTCCCTTTAAATCTTTGAAAGAGCCCAAACTTAAACAGTTTTTGTATGTAGTTGAAATCACTATCCTACATAGGCCTAGTTTGTGTTGATTGGATGTTAAACCACCATTTCTCTTAACCACTTGTCAGAAACCTATCGATTGAAATATGTATTTTAAAACTCGAAGACAAAATTCTCCTCATTTCATTTAGTAGCTGATCCAAAAGTTGTTAATAGGGGTAACGGTTCCAATTCGCAACAATCCCCCCACACAATGAACCTCGACAAAATACTGCATATAACACTGAGCGCCCCGGTAGAACATAGATCATATTGTCGAAGTAGTGGTCCTGTATTCATCCCTGCGTTAGCCAAGAAAGTTTACAAGATTTTCCGGTGTGGTTTCCCTTTGTCAGTTTTGCAGGACCAAGGGACCGGCCAAGGACAATGTATAGTCGTTCGGATGGGATCAAAAACCAAGGTCCAACGTACACATTGTCGTGCATGTAAAAGATAACATGGAGTTGAAATCCGATATTAGACTGACTGTGACTCGAAATCGGTGACTGGTTTACGATCAAATGGAACTGATCAGTCGTGACTACCTTTCCAACCTGAACACTCTTACGACTTGTGTAAGTCGGACGGCAACCAGTCGCCTCCAGTTTCTCAGAGTTGCACATGTTCTAATACTATGACTGGAGACAACTAGTTGTCCCTAGTCGCAAGCAACATGAGGGCACCCACAACTACTTTGAGTCAGCGCCTTGCTAAGGTTGCCAATACGTTTCGGTTAGTTAGTTACGTGGTACCAGGGGGGTGGTAACAAACATGGCGGACAAGTGGAATGAGGCCATTTTGAAGGTTATCACATGGCAGTCATGTGATTAGTTGTGGCTCCGATTCTGCAAATGACGCCAGGCGACATGAGCGCACATACAACTATGATCAACTGATTGCCCATGGTTGCATCCAGTCGTAGATAAATTCAGTCGTAGCGACATAAGCTCTCAGTTGCTATTAGTCGCCGTCAGTTTTACATGTCATAAGATGAGATAAGCTAGGCTTTAGAGGTCCTTATGTGATCTCAGGGAAGCTTACGATGAACAAAATATTGTACTAACAAGATTCTATACTTGATGATTCCATTCCGACTATATCGTATAGAGTGTTCATCCTATTTACTAATAATAAATATTTTGTTTTTTTTTTTCCAGTGAGGTAGATTTTGTGTGTTATGACATTTTACCTAGACATCATGGAATTGTTCGATACAGAGTCGGTAGGTTTTTCTAATTTGAGCATCATTTTCGAAGTTGAAAGACTATCTAAAGGCGATAATTATCTACATTTGTAGAAACTATCTAGCATCTAATTTAATCATTTTTCACCCAAATCAGAAAGGTCATCAATTTCAAAGGGAAATTTAATATATATTTTTTTCTTTTTTAAATTATAGACATTTTGAGTTATTACTGTCAACCTATTCTGGAGTAAAATATATAATTTTTGTTGATTAAAATGATTTCAGCTTACTGTTTGTTAAAAAGTAAGCAAGACAAAAGACATTCTAGATTTTATTTTTACCACTTGTTAAATTCTTAATTTCTTTTTTTCATAAAATAGGGAAACCATCTCGTTTAACGGGAGATGAAATTGCAGATACAGATTACCTTGAGAAAAAGTTCCGTGAAGCTTGCAGCTGGGTATCCTTCAGTTTTAATCGAGATGATACTCACTGGAAATACGAGGTTCTCATCTGTAAGTCAACAAATGAAATTGAAATATAGTCTCTCAACTTTTGGGGGGTTGTATGGCCGAATGGTTAGTGTGTACGCATTGTGTAGTATGGTCTGTCATTGAGTCAACTGGCGTGGTTTCAATTTCCTGGTTGTACTTGACAAAGAGTAGGGTCGCATGTCAAACCTCATGGAAATGACCTAGTTCATGTCAAGTGGAGGCTAAACTCTCTCTCTCTCTCTCAACTTTTATTACACCACTTGCTGGAACACCAGCTGATACAATGTGGTACCATAGCATAGCACACAAACATGATGCTCTTACAAATTCACAGAATTATCATCTCGTGACGCTGTTCATCCTGTTAAAGATTAGCCGGCCAAAATTATCTCCCCCTTGGGGGGGGGTTGGATGGCCGAATGGTTAGCACGTGCGTGCTGTATCAGTGGATAGGGTTGACTGCACAATCTAATTAAAATATAGATCTATATTTCGTTTCGTTTTTTATACTTTCGATCGCCTACACTACATGTAGATCTAACAAGTTATAGTGGGAGTTCACGTTCTTTGGCTTTGTTTTGATTTCAATTGCCGCTAATGTCTACCCACAGTTCCGCGCAAAAATGGTCAGTCGCTTGATTTGACAGACCATTTGATTGGCTGACCCCTCATTTCAAGCAGAACACGAGTTAAATAACAACGCTTCCAGATCCAAGTGTAGTAAAGACAAGTAAAATCGAAATTTTGAACTATAAAAACGAAACGAAATTAGATCTGTGTTTTAACCAGATTGTTGGCTGCAGTTCTCTTGTTTACCAGTTTGTCATTGTTCATTTGGCTTTGAAATATACTGGTGAGGCATTTTCTATGTTTCAAAACTTTCCTGACCTTTTCATACTTTGTTTTACAGTAAATCCACCATCCCCTATTCCGTGCCCAATTGCTGGTCGATATGGTTTTAATCAGAAGGTTAGTTTTGAAAATGAGAAATATGAAACGAGAATTCGTGGTGTGACAGATAGACCTCGTGTTCAGGTTGATTGTCGAATCCAAGTGTCCGAGTTCAAGTCATGCAGTCAAGATAAGTCGAAGATTGAAATTGATGCCGAGTACTGTGAATCTGTAGATTATCGTGGACGTCCTGTTGGAGAATACGGTAAGATTTTATGGGGTTATACCCAACGATATCAAAAAAGACAGGAAATTTTGCCAGGGAAGCATACTTTTTTAGCTTGCTCTTGATCAATTTGCAACTGTTAAGAGTTTTTACTCCCACAGCAACATGCACACAGTACCTTTTTTGTACCATCCAAATGACTAGACACTATTTCTAGCCAGGTCCTTAATCTGGCAGCACTGATAAGGGCAAACCACACTAAAAAATCCTGAGGAACTTAAACATGGGACTCTTTAGTTGTTGAACTAGTGCCTTACTTGTATTGAGTCAATGTGTCTCCGTTGTCGTAGGTATTATATACTTGATTGTATTTACAAACATCCATGACATCTAATAGCATTGTCGTGGGGGTTGGATGGCCGAATGGTAAGCACGTGTGCGCTATATCATAAGATCTGTCATTGAGTCAACTGGCGTGGTTTCGACTCCCCGGTTGTGCGTGACAAGGAGTGGGGTCGCCTGTCCAACCTCGTGGGGTTTCTCCGGGTCCTCCGGTTTCCTCCCACTGCTAAAGACCCCTACGTGCAAGCAAATTAATGAAATAAAATTAAACCATATGTTACTCCCGAAATGACCTAGTTTGTGTCGAGTGGACATTAAACCCCATTTCCCTCTCTCTCTCTCTCACTCTAATAGCATTGTCAGGTTCTCCATCCTGCACCACTGACAAGAGGAAATCATGCAGGAATCCCTGAAAAACTTTCTCGGCCAACACCGGGAGTGAACTCGCAACCTTGTTAGCCAGCCAGCATCTTATCCACTGAGATGCAGGACAGAGAGCCTGACAAGGACAGCTGTCTAGTCGTTCGGATGGGACGAAAAACCGAGGTTCCGTGTACACATTGGCGTGCACGTAAAAGATCCCTTGGCAGTTGGAATTCGATATAAGAGTAGGCCATACTGCCGCTATCCGGGCATAATTTCCCTCATAGCAGACTGTATGGCGTATGCCCGTCTTCATTAGCCCAGGTTAGGGGCAGAACAGTAGGACGTTAAACCCCATTTCATTTCATTTCATCTTATCCACTGACAAAACTCAAATATATTTCTAAATTATTTTATTATATTTTTTAGATGACTCTGATCATATTCTAACATGTGTTGGTTACTGGATGGAAGACATGAAATCTTTTCTAATAACTTATGATGAAGAAGATGCTATATCAGCTTTCAGATGTTGGGTAAGACCTTTTTTTATTAACAAGATAACTAGCTTAAATTATTTATTATACCTCATATTGATTTCATTGGTCCACAATGGTTTTGATTAGCCAGTAAGAAGCCACGGTGACTAAGTTGGTAAGATGCTGGCTCGCTAGACTGAAGGTCACATGTTCGATCCCTGCATTGGCTGAGAAAGTTCATCGGAATTTTCCAACATGGTTTCCCTTTGTCAGTGGTGCAGGATGGAGGGCTATTGTTAAATGAATGCTGTTTATCTGAAATAGGTACATTTTTTTAAAAAAAGCTGGGGTCTGAATGGCATTTTTTTCAGAAAACGACTCTTCAGGTAATTTTTTGCATTATTTTGTAGGTATATGAACGATCAAGTTGGACTGATATAGTGATGTCCCGAGCTCAAACTGCCAGATGTCCACGGAATCAGGATGCCAAAAGTTTTGATGTAGTAGGAACCGGTCTGAGAATGGAACTCTTTGAAAATGAAAGACTATGTAAGCATATGCATTTTTTTTTTCAGTTTTCAAATACAATTTCCTTGATAGTGGTCAGTCTAAAACTGACTCACAGTTATTAACTAATCTAAATGGTTTTATGTTTACCTTGGCACATAAAGAATGCATGTGATATGATACCTGAGATGGGGGGGTTGGATGGCCGAATGGTAAGCACGTGCGTGCTGTATCTTAAAGCCTGTCATTGACTCAACTGGCGTGGTTTCGAATCCCCGGTTGTACGTGACAAGGAGTAGGGTCGCCTGTCCAACCTCGTGGGTTTTCTCGGGTCCTCCGGTTTCCTTCCACTGCTAAAGACCCCTTGAAATAAAATTTTAAAAAACATACGTTGGTCCCGAAATGACCTAGTTTGTGTCGAGTGGACTTTAAACCCCATTTCTCTCTCTCTCTGATACCTGAGATACAGAAACTTACAATTAATTTCTTTTCTTCTCTAATCTAGATGGACAGGATGACCATTTTCTAATATCCAAAAATTAAAATGTTTGCTTCACAATTACTAAAATATCGTAACAAAGACAGAAAAGACACCAGTTTCTGTCTACTATGCTATGCATTAGATTTGATTCATTGGTTCATTTCTAGTTATGAAGCTTAAAAGTTCTTTATTAGTTAAGATAATTTTCTTTATTTTCAGTTGACGATTGTCCACAAAGATTTGACCCAGGTATCGACCCATATCGTAAACCTATGGTTATTTACGTACTGAGTTCTGCAAACTCCCTGTTAAGTTTCACAGCTATATTAACTACAAGTTTGCTGACAATATTTTTAGTGCTAGATTCTATTTGTTAGAATTTTAAATATTTAGCTGTTTATGAAATGTTGGGTCATCCCAACTAATATCAACATGTTTTAAACCCATGCAGGATAATTTTTTACTTGGTAACATTACCAGAATTGTATATTTGGTAACATTACCAGAATTATTTACTTGGTAACATTACTTGTATTGTTTACTTGAAAACCTGTATTGTCTACTTGATAACATTACCTGTATTGTATACTTGATAGCATTTGTCTACTTGATAACATTACCTGTATTCTCTACTTGATAACATTACCTGTATTCTCTACTTGATAACATTACCTGTATTGTCTACTTGATAACATTACCTGTATTTTTTACTTGATAACATTACCTGTATTGTCTACTTGATAACATTACCTGTATTGTCTACTTGATAATATTACCTGTATTGTCTACTTGATAAGATTTCCGGAATTGTTTACTTCATAATATTTCTGGAATTGTTTACTTATAATATTTCCAGAATTGTTTATTTTATAACATTTCCAGTTTACTTCAGAACTTTATCTGAATTGATAACATTATCTGTATGTGTTTAAAACATGGTAGAACAAACTATAAGTTCTTCAATCAAATGTCTAGTTTAGAATTGCATAAATTATGTTTGATATTGAGTATAGATTTTATAAATACCCGATACCAAGAAAATCGAAACCAAAATCAGGTTTCTTTATCAAGTTAATAACATTACAAAATGATGTATATATTTACAAATTAATATTATAAAAGATATGTATATTTTGTGGATATAAACAAATAATTGTATGTTTCTTTTTCTCTCTTACATATTCATTTCCTTACTATTACATGCACAAAATGTATATCATATTTTATTTTTAAAAAATACCTTGGATTTTGACAGGATGGGGAAAGGGGAGCTTTTTGTGAACCCTTATATGTTTGTCAATATTGCTAATTTTGCATATATACTGTATATGTAAGTTCCTCTTCATCAGCAAAATCCTATTTTTCTAGAAAATTTCTCAATTTGCCAGGTGTTTCATTTTTGAAAGGAATAACACTTATACAAAGTTGAAAATCCTGCCTTATTCCTTAATTTGTCTACATTATTTACGCATATCTTGTCATCATTATTTTCAATAGCATAAATTCCCATAATATGAAAATATACTATGTGTAACATATACTTGCCTTTAGATTTAAAATAATATTGTAAATATTTTATACCATTTGTAAATATATTTCATTTTATAGATTCTATAAATTGAGTTTTATACTTTGAAGTAAGTCAAATAAAAATAGATGAAAAGTTTCAATGAAAAATAAATGCAATAGATTAATTTAAAATCTTAAAAACCTCTACAAATGTTGATTGAGGGAAGAGGAGACTTTTGATTTAAGAGTTCAACAAATTCTGAATCTTGAAATATTTTATTCTGATAAATATGGAATTGAAAATATATTGAGAATTGTTTTTCTCCTACAAACAAGACAAGTAACATTTTTGTTATTTTAGTAAAATTTGACCTGAAATGATTTGAAAACAGTGATTTGTGTAAATTTGGAATCTGGAAAATCTATGATGCGATAGATATTTAACTGTCTATCAAATTTCTTGATCTGTTAAAAACCAATAAATGTTGTAAATATTTTGTTAATTTGTCATTAATAACATTTTATATTAATCATCTATTTCATTATATTTTTTAATAAATTTTATTGTAATAAATTTTTTTTTTACCAAAAGGTGTTCATGTTTTATCAATCTAATTTTAAAAAAATGGCTGAATGTCCCAGGTTTCAATCTTGACAATGGCTAAGAAGAATTATTAGGATTTTTCAAGCAGGATCTTACTTGCTGCTGCTTGTCTGGCTAACAAGGTAAGTATGCCTAGTCCTAACAAGCAGTTACAACGGAAGATACGCTGACATTTTGTAAGAATTGGATGGAGAACAGGGATAGGATGCATTTTCTCACTGCTTCAATACATGTATATTGAATTTGAAAAAAAAATTGTATCCTCCATCGCGTTCTTGTTTTCAGGAAACGGGGCAGGTAGTAAGACCAGAAAGGAAGGTAAAAGAACAATTAATATCCACAGGGTCCTCTCATGACCCAAATGCTTACACCAAATTTGAAATAAATGCATTATAAAAAAAACTAGTCTGTCAGGTTCATTTTTTTGCAACAGGTAGGTAACTCCGCAATGGAAGGTTGTGGAATGCTGAATATTGATACGGTTGATCCTCTCTTAAACCCACTGCTTTACACCAAATATCAAAAAGTTTGGTTAAAAACTGTAGCCTTAATCGCGTTCACAAGTTTTAGGCTAAGGGGGCATAACTCGGGAACGGAAGGTCGCGGAATGCTGTTTATATCAATAGGATTTGTCCTCTCAAGAAGTCAATCCGCGAACATGATTTGAAAAATTAAACGAGTTAAAATATATAGCCCCTAGACTCTGTCACCTTCACAGGATTTTCCGAAGAGGGGCCATAACTCTCTAACGGAAGATTTGATCAAAAAGAACATTTTCGACTTCACTGTTGGTTAATTTTTTATGATGAAACATACCCAACTGTGTGTTCCACTAGCCACTGTTGACAGCCAGCAAACATTTAAACGAAAATTATTAAACAAGCCGACTTCTGCTTCATCCTTCATATAAAAATACAATAGTATAATAAAGCTTGGCCCACCACTACTCAAAATAATCGTTATTGTGTATAATCTAGAAACTCGCAGTCAAATTAAACAAGTACGATAGTACTATGGACCAGAAACTAATAATGTTGTTAGATAAAATTCAAAAATCTAATTCACCAGTTCGATGCAGAATTGTTCAAAGTACAAGCCTACCAATTTTCATGTCGGAGCCTTAGGCTTGCTCGAAGAGCGTCACCCCAAGAACAAAAAGAAGAACAAGATGAGTTCCGGTTAGCGACCAGTTAATGCCCCCCCCCCCCCCACAAAAAAATATACCCATGTTGTTTTCTTTTAAATTTGAATAATTTATATTTAATATTATACTTTTTCAAAACTTGTTCGGCTTTCATGATAAAATGGGACATTAAACGTTTATCATCAATCTGTTTCACGGAGGATTACGTGGTTGGAAATCGCCTCCAAAAGATTCTGTATATAACTGGTTTAACCGATAATTGGGAAAGATTTTTGACTCCCGTCTTATTTATTATATCATTGGATTTTACTTTGCCTGTGTGTATGCTGTGTATGCAATTAGATTGATCAAATATTTAACATCATCGGATTTAGGGTGTGGTGGACCTTAAAGGTGTGTCGCTAATAATACCAGTTATAATGACTGGTACGCTGTATGTATAGGCTACCTGATATAGTATTTTATTACCCAATAACATATTCTACAGTAGATATCGCTTGTGTGATAACTTCATTCTCCTAGGAGATATCGCTTTAGGATGGAAAGGGTAGGGTGATAAATAAAATCTATTCGTATTTTTTTTTATATATCAAAACAGACTCGTAGGAGATTATCTATATAACAGTAAGTATAGGGAGACCGCAACACACACTACAAACAAGAGTTTTAAATTGTCCATGACTGACAAGAAATGATAATGATAATAGAATTCCTCGTGTGACTAATATTCCGATGTTGCATTTCTTGTCTTGTTTTGAAATAAGAATGAACGTATGACATTTAGACACGCCTCCAACCTGTCCTGTCCTTCAAATGCGCAAAAAATCCCTTTATGATAGTGACAATGAATTAGTTCGGGATCTGCGATGCGTTAATGGGGTTAGCAACGACACAGCGTTGTCCGGGCCCTCTGCCAATATCTAACACGTAAAACAAGAAAATAAGAAAACATAATGGATTATGAACGAAGTAAAGTGTCTACGAGAAGTTTAGAGAGACTGTTCCTAAAGGAGAGAGAGAGAGGGAGAAATGGGGTTTAACGTCCACTCGACACAAACTAGGTCATTGCGGGACTTACACATGGTTCAATTTTATTTCAATAATTCACTTGCGCGTAGGGGTCTTTAGCTGTGGGAGGAAACCGGAAGACCCGGAGAAAACCCACGAGGTTGGAAAGGCGACCCTACTCCTTGTCACGTACAACCGGGGAATCGAAACCCCGCCAGTTGACTCAATGATAGATCGTATGATACAGCGCGCGCGTGCTAACCATTCGGCCATTCACCCCCTCCCCCCCCCCCTGGTTCCTAAAGGAATTACGAGACGTTAATGGTTTTTAATGTTTTCTAATAACTAATTTATCCGGGTATATGATTTTGTTTTGTTTTTTGTTTTGTTTTGTTTTTGGTTTTTTTTGGGGGGAGGCAAAAAAAAGATGATAAAATGGAGATCTTCCACCTGTGGTCCTTATTTAATACACACAGCCCCCTTTCTAGAACACGTGATACCACTTCTCAATAGGAGTTTACGTACTAACACTTATATTTTATATCGCTCCGAACTGACCACGGGCTTCAAGGTGGGTGACTGACTGATCTTGCGCTTGCACTGTAAAGTCTGTTACCGATCTAGGTTTTGATAGTTCGATCCCACTTAAAAAGTTTCCTGCGCACAAGGAAATAATACATGCCATTATTATTTTGGTCCAGAAATGACGTAGTTTGTTTTGAGTGGACGTCAAATTTCATCTCCCTCGCTCGAGTTTCCAAATGGTTGGAAATACTGGTCCCAGCAGACTGTCTTTTGTGTTTAGCGTATTCGACGTAGGACGTCACGTATTTTGACGCAATGTCTGGTGGGATTCTACCCCTTCTAAAAGCCCCTTCTAAAGACCTTCTTTCTGTGTCAAACGTCTTTATAAAAGTTTTTAAGTATTGCTATTTTCGGAAGATAGAGAATATGCATTTTTTTTAGAAGAAGATGTATGATGGTGTTTGAATAGCAGAATAGTCAGTGTTAGAACTTATAGCCATGACACAATAGAAAAGAAATAATCCCGCCATTTGTTAAAATGCCAGATTGTATGGTAATATACAATTATATTTTTAAAATATAGTAATTTATAGGCTATGATATCGAAATAGTTTGTTTTTGGTTATTTCGTTCTGTTCTTTGTTCTTCTGGACGATAGCCGTTGAATTAAAATAAAAGTTTAATAAAACGTAGATTATTTATACTGCCTTTTCAACTGACCGTATACTTCCTTTGTGTGCATTCAATAGAGTGGCGTCTTAACTATAATATATAATTTAATAAATCCATACAATAAAAACCATTATAATTCAATTATTCACATTTAACAGCCGTTATTATATAGAGTTTATAAATATTTGTAATATAATTGATCTTTAATAGGTTCCTGGTTTATATGAATTATAACAGTAAACCATATTACCACAAGATATTGATAATAATACTTCTAGTTAATTCGCGAGTCACATGGATGTAAACTGCAGAGAGGGGATGGGGGCAGAGGGGGTGACAGCCCCGTGAATCCATTTCAGGGTAGGATGCGGGGGGGGGGGGGGGCTTCCATTCGAAAAGTCGAAATACTTTAAGTTTAATGAACTTTGTTATATATATACAAAGTGTCATATTATATTTGAATAAAAGGTTTACTTCGTCTGTTTTATGACATACATGTATACGGTTTTGTACATCGGTTCTACTACCTTTCACATCTGGCATAGGCTACATACAACAACTAAATAAACTTTTTCATTTTATTAAATGGAAGCAGAATAAAATCTTAACAAAATTCTCGAAGTATACTTAGTGTTTCGATTAAAATCGTCAATTTAGGTCTTAAAATGTCGGTCAACTAACTTTTAGTGTCTGTTCTCAAGCGGAGCTAACTGTAGACAGACAGCCTACGTTTAGTATGATGTTGTACATGATTTTCAACATTGTAGCATACTGAACAATGTTTGACCCCCATCCCACCCTTATTTGTGAAATTGTCACATAATAATAGTTAGTTTGTATTGTATTGTCTCAGAACATAAAAGTCAGACTTCTTCTGATCAAAAGAAATGTAAAATACTAACAATAAATATTTTTGAATAAAACAAAATGTATGTCTTTTCACTTGAACGATATAAAGAATTATACTTCCTATATCAGGCGAAAAATAAAAACACATATTTTGTGGTGTGTTATCTATCCCTTTCATTTTCTCTTTATTTACAAATTTTCAAAAGGTATTTCATTCATTCCTAAACTTCCGTTTTCGATGAATCAACAATGAGTAGGCTAAACTAGGTGTTTTTATTTATCAAAAAATATATATGGCGATGATATTGTGGTCTATTGAGAGTCCATCTCTATTCACTATAAATGGCAGTGTAAGACTAGCCCAGGGTGTTTGGGACCTAAATAAAGTTAAATGAGTCACGTAGTATTCATATAATCATCTCCGTGGTTCAGGTTTGTCGTGAGTACTAATGGGCGGATCCGGCCAAGATGGGGGGGGGGGGCAGTTGTGACGTAAATTTTCAAGAAAAGGAAATCTTGTTTGTGTAGTATAGAAATTTTTATTATAAAACACAATGTTTATATATATATATATATATATATATATATATATATATATATATATATATGGATTACTGAATGTTTGATATCTGTATCTTGGGCTAGTTATAAAGTACCTATGTAGTGCGGATTGGCCTTTGCGGCGTGCACGATTTATGGGGGGAATTCGACAAAAAGCCCGATGAACCACTCTCACAACTTGAGCCGCATTAAATTACATTCTACTGGACCATGCGCCGAGATCAGATTATCAAAACAGGGACTATCTGTCACTGTGAAGTTGAAATGTCATTTACCGTTCTTTTTGATTGTGTAGAATGCAGGCACTTCACAAGCATTTTCCGTAGATGGAATTATGGTTGGTTCCCTATCGAATTAGAAACGACCCTTTCACCCCCCTCTCGGGTCCGCGCTTGGTAAATCTATGAATACACCACTCTATTCTATTTTATTATTCACCTTTCAAACACAGCTTAGAGGTATATTACGTCAATATATAATACTGACAAGCTACCAATCAAAGCCCACTTCTAATACAAATAGTTGTGAAAAACGCGACTCTCCCTTGAATTCCTTTCCAACTAAACAAATAAACACTGGGCCAATTCTATTGTTACGTGTAACAGTAATTCCCATTGCATCTGTTGGTGAAAACGTTTCACCTGTACAGTTAATTAACGGTGCGAACATCATCATGCCACATTATTGCACACCTGAGAGCGCGTGCAACGAACTACCCCACCCCATACATCGACGTCACTTCCCGCAAATTGTCGGCCATTTTCAATGTTCAGTGTCAGGTATAACGAAGTGAATTTTCACCCGGTTTGATTACCTGTGAACAGGTGTATTTATTTGGACATAATCTGGATTACGATAAATTGGTGACGATAAACTTTCAAAATGCCTCTTAAAAATATACTAAACCGACAGAAGAAGAACAAAAGTAAAGAAAATCTATCCGAGAATCAGAACAGTCCGACGAGAGAAACACCCCGCCCCGAAGCCCCGACGACGACACCTGAAGCCAATGGCGGAAATACCGTAAAATCAGATCACCCTCAACAACCTCCCAGACCAAAGTTAGTGTTTCATTGTCAACAGGCACAAGGCAGTCCCACGGGTATTATATCTGGCTTCACAAACGTCAAAGAATTGTATGTAAAAATAGCCGAATGTTACGAGATACCATCCTCAGAAGTAAGTATGAAATTTTGACAGGTAGGGGTGGGATTGTAAAAATGTCAAATTTTTACCTGTCTAAAGTACAGAGAATTTTTAATTTTATTTGAAAGTCATATTAAGAAATCTACATGTTACTTACCAGAGTTTGCCTGAGACTGGTATTCCCTGTATTCACTACACACATCAAGGGTTTTGGTAAAGACTATGTTTTACTATTAGAAAAATTGATTCTGACAATAATTCCATCATGTTTTATTTACCATTACCATTATATACAATATTTACCATTTTATTTATCATTTATATCGAGACGAATTGTAGGTACCGGTATGGTATTATAATTTGTTTAATTATTCAACTCACCTGTCTCAGATATTGACAGGTAATTACTAATTACAGGTCTTCAATAAGTAATGATAAATCTATATCAACAGTGGGATGTTAATTAGCTTTTCTGACATTAACACACAACAACTATACAGAGAAATAGGGTATAAACAATGATACTATCTAATGGTGATTTTAACCAATATTACATCTCATCTAATACACATTGAATACAAATTGGTTCAGTGTACTAATATATTATAAAGTACAAAAAATCATGGACAGATACTCAATGGAGATGGAATAAACCATAATATAAAGGAGATCAACAATATACATCACACATATCTATCACACCTGTACACATTAATAAACGACTACTGTACAAATACATAGAATACTGTACACAAACAGTGGGAAGGGGCAGGGGGACAAGAGGTGTCATGCTTCGAGCTCTAACTGGCTGGTCAACTCAGGCTTGTGGTCATGGTTTCAATCCCTGGTGTGGGCGTATGTGCTTTGGAGATAGGGGCACCTTCTCAACTTCGTGGTTTTACTCCGGGTACTCCAGTTTCTTCTCACAGAAAAGACCCCTGTGCATAAAAAATAAAATAAAACAACTTGTCTGCGATATCACCCTTTGGTAGAAGCGGAATTTAAACAATAAGAACAACAACACAAACAGTGTAACATGATTTATATTGTCATATTATATCCTGCAGTTTATCTTATCTCAATATTTTATTATTACCATTCTTATAGACACAGAATACACTGTAAAGGTTACAATTCTGGAATATCTATATTCCAATATATAAGGCATTGTAAAATTTGTATTGTAACTGTATTCCAAAGTTTTAGATATTCTACTTTAAAGGAGCTAAAGTGATAATATTTGGGACCTAGAAATTGACCCAAATGGGTCGCAATGATATAATAATGTAATCTGATTGTATATAAACTGATTTACATTCAATTGTTTCGGTTTTGACTCTTAATTTCAAAACAGTTATGTCCAGCGAAATACGGCATGACTCTCAACCAAATAGGAATTTCTAGCGTATGGATATTCCAGTCTATTGCACATGCTCTCCAGGTAAGATATGACCTCACCGTTTGACATGAGTTGTGGAATATGTCTAGCCTCGTTCTTTCTGGTCACTTGTTACAAATGACACTGAAACGCACAATGGTACATTATTCATATACCAATGGTAAGATGCTTATTTTGTCTTAAATATTGGATATCAGAAGCCTACCTTTTCCTGGTAAGATCACAACATCAATGTTGATTTGAATTGACAAATAATTTGTGTTGGATGATATTGAGTTAGAGACTTAGCTACTTGAACTGTATTTATATTATATCTCACATGATGACAACCTCTCTATGAGACTAATACGAGAGAGAGAGAGAGAGAGAGATTATTCGACACAAACTAGATTGGGACTAACATATGGTTCAATTTTATTTCCATAATTTGCTTGCCTGTAGGGGATGAAACCGGAGGACCCAGAGAAAACGCACAAGGTTGGACAGGCGACCCCACTCCTTATCACATACAACCGGGGAATCAAAACCATGCCAGTTGACTCAATGACAGACTCCCTATGATACAACACGTACATGCTAACCATTCAGCCATCCAACCACAGATTATATATCCAACCACAGATTATATGATTTCATCGGAAATTATAAATAGAATTGAAAGATGTTCGTGTTTTAAAAGTGCATTGCCTTATACAAGCCTTAACACATTTATAGCTGTATCTAAAATGTGAAAAACACTCAATTAAATAGAATATTTCGGCTATGTTAAGGATTTTGTTATATTTTACATAGTAGTGTTGATATATTTAATGTCAAATTAGACAAGTATGAGTTATTTATTTGGCTGTCAATATCATTAATAATTTAAAGAGAAAACATATGGAAATCAGAATGACAGCTGAAAGCAGATTAATGTAATTTAGATATCGCTGTAGATATCATGTAATACCAAATAGGAGACATCACCTGTGTAGTGCAGTATTACCTAATAAATGATTATCTGTTACACAACATACCACAGAATGCAATCATTGTTTGGTTGACTCATGGTTAACAGATATGATATTTGTCAGCCCTGTTAGAAACTGTCAGTAAACTGATAAAACAGATCAAAATGTAGATGGTCAGATTGTTCAAATACATGTACATCTCAACAGTCAACAATATGGATTATTTTAAACATACATTATGTACATTATGCAAGAGCTAAATCTACCAATTACAGGTCTTTCTTTCGGCCTTAAATGTTATCTAAATTATTAATTAGACATTAATTAACTTATCCAGACCATAATCAACTCTAGATCTCAACGTTGGCCTGTGATATTTACTGGATTAGAACCTGATCTGCTGCTCAAAATTCATTGATGATTAAATCAAAAAATGGATAATCGAGACTATGTTTTTTTTATCGTACCGACTTTAGTAATGATGATCGAGGCTAGGTCCAAAATTCAATCGCTAAATTCTCGGTTCAGAGTGGATCAATTTGACTGAAATGTTCAGCAAATTCCTTTTACATCATCTAGTTTTTTACTATTATAGTGAGAACTGCCAGCTCTTTATCTAATCTCCCATAATGTATCTTTAATATAAAGACTGTTGCTATTATGTATAATTAAATGCATATAAGTTTGAATAACAAGTACATCAAGGTAACTTACTAACTACTGAATGTCTTTGTAAAGACCTGTAACCCACTTTATACAAATTCTTATAAAACAGTATTTACTATTGTAGCAACTTTGTGACATGTGTCAAGTCAGTAGTGAGTGATTTGATGATACATGAGGTCAAAACTACCAGACTCTCAGTGTCATTTAGTATACACATGTACATGTAGGTACCTAATTGTTTATGCATGGGATAGACAATACCCCTCTCAGATGTGACAAGTGTTATCTGTTGGTCTGAAGTCTGAAGACATATTGGCAGATGCATGCTGGATGGGTAGGCAGGGTAGGCGACTCATAATGCAAACACAAATGAAACCGGAAATCGGATGAGATTTTCAACCAGGGTATATTGATGGGCCTTGAGTTACCTCAAATACTCAAGGAAATGTCCGCATCAATGTCATCATATGCACATTGCCCTAATGACAATATCGTGCCCTCTTTTCTCCGCTGCCCTTCCCTTGTTCTTACCAAATTCAGCGATAATAAATATCAATTGCGCTATGTAGTGTATGCACAATCGATCACTCCTCGCCACTGGTTGACTCTCAGTCTCAGTGGGACCAGGGGACCAGTCAACGATGCTGGTGATCGATTGATTGTGGCTGGTATCCAAATTCCTCTGATTTCTGTTTTGATTTATCCAGTTCTGAATTTATTTGAGTATTAACTGTACTTGTTCTTCATTTAAACAATTTGCCCTGGACCAAGAAGTGTCGGTGTTTGGCACAAACTTCTGGAGAAAAAGACACAGGATGATTTTTTGAAAGATTTTTTTAATTTCATTTCAGGATCAAAAATGCAATCCATTTCCACAGAGGGCTTTCAGATTAGAGTTATTTATTTCGCTAAGTGAATTTAGGAAAGTGAAAACAAAAATAGGGAAATGTAACACAGGCGACGGGAATGTTTGTACCTTCTAGCATACTCAAGGCCAATACGCTAACATTACCACAAACCCTATTGACATTTATTATGTCCTCAGCAACCTCCTTGTTCAGGCTTAAAGTACACTTTTTACTCTGGAGCCACAGCCAATGTCTCAATCTTGATCATCTTCTTGTTCTTAGGGTTCACTGTACTCTTTAAGTGCTACTCCTGCCTCATTAGCGAACAGAATCGAATGGAACTTGGCAGGTATATACTAGACAGCCATGTACATGCGATTAACAAAAGCATTTTCTCTATTTTTAACTTGGTTGCAAAATTAAGCTATGGCCATAGTACGTCAAATCGACTCTAAACAAGAATTTAAAAAATTCTCGGCACTGTGGGGGGAAAGAGAGCAACATGCCTCAAAAAGTGCCCCAATTTTGATCTGCATACATTCCTCAGTAGATCCCAGCATGCCTCTGCATAGGGGTAGAAAAAAGTAGGAATTTTTCCCTAATTATGTTCCACAGTCACCTGTGTTGAAGAGAGCTATACCTGAAAACTTATTCATCTTGGGTTGCCAATGGTAATCTATTGATAAAATATGATACTGTTAATCCTAGATCATGACTCTTTTTGGGGCTAGTGCCATAGTGTTATAACTTGTTCTTTGTAGCTTTGATATCTGAAAATCGTGTATATGCATCACTCAGTTTCAATTTTAGTAGTAAGAGGTGTCAAACATAATGCAGGGTATGCTTACTCTTTCTAGAACAGTTCTTCTGCTTAAATAAGAGTTATGCCCCTTTATTTTCGGTAAAATGTCTGACAAGAAAAATTTTAAAATCCCATCACTGGTCTGTAATATCTTAGGGCACATGCTTTAAACAATATTATGACATATAGGGAGCTTAGAATGGATTTGAAAATTCATTTCCATGATGGACATAATAGTACATTTACAGACGCTTTCTTGGATTTGGAGCGAGGAGTGCAGAAAATAATTTTTTTTGACAAGTTTAAATGGGGTTAACGTACATTTTGATGTTAAAACAGACTTTCAGATCCCTCTAAAGAGTTTGTCTACCACTAACCCTTGAATTTGTCTTTGATTCTATTAATTGTTTTATTCTTTTTTTTCTTTGCAGATTCTATTTTGTACATTAAATACACACAAATGTGACATGACAAGATTACTAGGAGGACAAATTGGATTAGAGGATTTTATTTTCGCACATGTTAAAGGTCAACCAAAGGAAGTAGAAGTAGTGAAATCCGAAGATGCGCTAGGACTTACAATTACAGATAACGGAAATGGATATGCTTTCATTAAACGGATTAAGGAGGGAAGTATAATGGATAAAGTTCCGATAGTTTATGTTGGGGATCATATCGAGAAGTTAAACGGTCAAACCGTGGTAGGTCTAAGACATTACGAAGTAGCTAAAATGTTAAAGGAAATACCAAAAGGAACAACGTTTACATTACGAGTTGTGGAACCTCTTAAATCTGGTTTCTGTAAGTATTATTTTAATATTACCGGATAATTTGAAGTAATTTGGGTTGGAGTTGTTTTTTTATCACTAATTATAGCCTGGCACAAAACATAAAAACTATAGCCTCCTCATAATTTGTTTCCAGTCCTTTGTACATACACACAGGTAACAGAATTCTAATATAGTTGACCTGAATATCAGACTCTAATTATGTTTCAGTAAAAAAGAGCAAGTTTCATCCCTTAAAACGTCTTCAGTATACAAAACTTTTTAAGTATATGATAGTAGGCATATTGTTTAATTTTAATTGTGGATTGATGGCTATGCATCTGTCAGATCACAAACGTCTTCAGTATAAAAAACTTTCAAGTATATGATAGTGGCATATAGTTTAATTTTAATTGTGGATTGATGACTCTGCCTCTGTCAGATCACAAAGATTCAAAATATCTTTGTTCACCATGTAGGCATAAATACATGTAGGCAATGCCTTTATAAGGCCTGAGTACTAACTCTATACACTAAGACAACAATATACCCCAATAAAGATATTGTATAGTACATCTAAGGAATGTGTTCTGTAAGTATACATTAGTTATTGTTGTATTGATGAATAGAGAGATAAATAAATACTGGTCTCATTCTATCAATAAACACGCCCAGTTTCAGTCTTCATCTCTTTCTCTTACTTTTACACATTTTCTCTTTGATTAAAGTCTTTTGATCAAAAAGTACAAAACATTTGCCATTTAGTCTACAATCCTTTGTACATGTAGAGTCGAAATAAATTTTCTTATAAATCTGACATGTACATGTAGGTAGGGCTTTAAATTTGTAGTTGTTGATTATCAGACAAGTAGTGACCAAGAAATGGGCAGTGACCAGCAGATTACGTTACCTGCTATTAAAATATTGAATCAAGGTCTTGTCACGATAAAACTTTTTAACCATGTGGGTAAATTCTGGTTTCTCCCTGAAACATACAAATTATAGAAATGAAGGTCTACCATATGTTTATAAGTCCCACATTGGCTCAGTTAGCATAGGTCTGCCTCACTAACAAAGAGTTCTTGGGTTCGATCCTGGTTTTGACCAAGAAAACTCCTGGAATTTTCCACCTGGTTTCCCCTTTGTCAGTGATGCAGGATGGTGGGCCCGAAATGTAGCAGTGTCTAGTTGAAAAACTGAGGTCCCACACGGACAGTTGGTGTGCATGTAAAAGAATCCTTTGCCCATTTTCATTAGCCCGGTTGGTACAGAACAGTAGGATGTTAAACCCCATTTCATTTCATTCTTTTCATGAAAGTTAGGTGTAAATTTTATATGATATAAATCTATCGTTTAATAATTCATCTTGTGAAATTGACCTATTTGATAATATCTTTATATGACCTTTATATAGTCTTAGATACATATATATATAGTCTACTGACTATAAATCACATAAATCATGTTTTATATACATGTACCTTTACTGTGAGGTGAGATAAGTCTAATACATGCACAGTACAGGTAGATCATAAAACCTATCTATACAAGTCTTGGGTTAGATGCCAGGTTTGAGTACTGTCACCTGCCTATCTTGTGAGTTTTCTTTTGGTGCTCTTACTTCTAAGACTCCTGCACACATGCAAATTAAAGATGTACTTTATATCAATTTCACTCAATGGAAAACTTGTTCCAATAAAATATGATAGTGATTGGTTTCAAACTCAAGACAGGGTATGCTTACCCTCTTATTTGTGTAGGGGGGTTGAATGGTTAGCGAATCCGCGCTGTATCATAAGGTCTGTCATTGACTCAACTGGCGTGGTTTCGATTCCCCGGTTGTACGTGACAAGGAGTAGGGTCGCCTGTCCAACCTCGTGGGTTTTCTCCAGGTCTTCCTATTTCCTCCCACAGCTAAAGACCCTACGTGCAAGCAAATTATTGAAATAAAATTGAACCATATGTTTGTCCCAAAATTACCTAGTTTGTATCAAGTGGACGTTAAACCCCATCTCTCTCTCTCTCTCTCTCTCTCTCTCTCTCTTATTTATTTTTCTATTGATACTATATTCCCCCTAGCACCAGCGTAAAGAACAAACAAAAGAATGGATGGTGTACAATGTCATTTATTATTGACTAATAAGATGAAATATGATTTAACCGAGAATACAAAATAAAGTCATATTTCAGTCTTTAAACTTTGGGTTGGGCTTAAAAAGTAAAGAATAAATGGCGAAACACATATTTTTACGTCATGTCGTCGTGTCTATGCTTACCCTCTTATTTTAGAATATTTGAGTTTACATGTACATGTTGCTAACTATTTGGCTTGTAGTTGGTTTCCTGAATGTCAGTAGAGGAGGGTCACAATAAAGCATGTTAAAACAAACTAGAAAAGAAAGGGAGGACATGAGGTTCCACACTAACAACAGAGGTGGAATTAAAGCAGGGGTGAATACAGAGGTCCCAGACAGTCGTTTTGTCAACAGCAGTTACCATCTAAATGTCACACATTAGATGATATGGCCACTCAAGAAACTAGAAAATGAAATGAAATGGGGTTTAACGTGCTACTGTTCTGCTCCTAAACTGGGCTAATGAAGACGGGCATATGCCATAGAGTGTGCTATGAGGGAAATTTTGACCGGGCAGCAGCGCTATGGCCTACTCTTATATTGAATTCCAACTGCCAAGGGATCTTTTACGTGCACACCATTATGTACACGGGACCTCGGTTTTTCATCCCATCCGAACGACTTGACAGCTGTCCTTGTCAGGCCCTCCATCCTGCATCACTGACAAGGGGAAACCACGCCGGAACAAGAAACTAGAAATCAAAACGGTGGGCGATAATTTGACAATACAAAAACTGCATTGTAAGCGATAATGTATTTATCAAAAATCAATTGCTGGGCATTTGGTTCAGTCGTCGAACTTGAAGAAGTAAATTTAGTTCCGTGATGTGATATCTTATCACTATTAATGTATTGATTGATAGGGTAGTCACGATTTTCAGGATGATAATTATGTTGATTAGCTTGGTGTATCTATGTACTTGTATGTATTTCATGTTAGATGTCACGACTTGATAAATATGAATTATGACTAACTTGATAGTATTTGTTTGTGTAGGGTGATATTTATTGGACTCAAGTTTGGTTGCTTACATTTTAAACTTTAAATTATTATCACTTTCTTATTTCTGACCTTCATAAGGAAGAGAGTACACATGTATCTTCCTTCAAACTTTGCATAGTAATAAATTCAGTAATTGTGTAGGACTATCCATAAATCAAATGATGACTAATAAAGACAGGTTTGTGCCATACATATTGCTATGAGGAAAATTTTGCCCAGACATCGCTGCTATAGCCTACTCTTATTTCAAATTCCAACTGTCAAAGGTTTTTTTAGTGCACACCAATGTGTACTTGGAACCTCAGTTTTTTTCATTCCATCCGAATTACTAGTGACTGTCCTTGCCAGGCCACCCATCTGGCATGTTTGACATGGAGAAACTGCGCCAGAAAATCTCAAGGAACCTTTTCGGCCACCACCGCAAGCGAACCTGAGATCTTGTTAGCAAGCCAGCGTCTTAATCGCTCAGTTTGTACCTTGTGTTAATTTTTTCCAATTACTACAGGTAAACACCTACATGTATTAAAAAGGTTTTGAGTAAGGATTGGAGAAGAACCCAATTCAATTCTTGGTAGTTTTTTTTTTCTTTTAAACAACATATATCTACAGAAACTGGATTGGAGAATAAACCTATAGACCCCCTCTCCATAAAGGATGCGGGTCAGTTCACCCCACGACCGTTTCATCCTGGGCTGTTTCATACCAACCTATTTTTTTATCGGGCTGTTTCACTCCGGGCTGTTTCATCCCCCTTGTTATTAGAATAGCAGTTAATAAACTGAGTTGTACTTATTGTTAAATAAACTGTTAAACACTTACTTATTGTTTTACTCGTCGATTTTTGTTGATTACCGATCACAACCGAGATTAGTACACTGCTGTATATTCGTATTATTTGTTAAAATTGCATTGACATATTGTATAAATAATTAAAGTAATCGGAAAATCAGCTAAAGCGTATGCAATAGAAGGAGTTGAACACTATTCATGATAAAATTGCATTGACATATTGTTATTGGTATTAATGTATAAATAAAATATTAAAAATTCATGTAATGTGGGTTTTTAAATTTGTGGGATGAAACGACTCGATATAAGTGGGATGAAAGGACCTGTGTAAATTTGGGATGAAACAGCCCGAGATGAACCGGTAGTGGGATGAAACGACCTGCTCCCCTCCATAAACATCCAAACATACATGTAAATATATATTGAAAAATATATGAAAGTAACCTATTTGTGTTATAATTTATAAGAATAGTCAAGTTCTGAGCTGTAAAGTAATGACTACTGTAGAGTAATGTGAAACCATTGAAAGTTAATATATAGATTATTTATTAGGCGTAAATATGAAGACTTGTATAGATTGTATATACGATAGTATTGATTGATGATAAAAACATCATCAAATCATATAGCCAACAGATACTGGTGATGGTTATTTGCCATGTAGTCTGTTAGTATGTACATGTATATAGCCAACAGATATTGGGGATGGTTATTTGCCATGTAGTCTAGGTCGGTCGTTTTTTTTTTTTCAAATTTTTTTTTTAAAGTCAGAGAAATCAATACAGAAAAATTATTAAAATTAATTTTGTTTAATGAATTTTGGGTCTGACGTAAAAAGTAACGAACTTAAAGTTTTTATTAAACTTAAGAGCTAATTTGACTGTTTGATGATTTTCTGGGTGGAAACATTCGTCGTCTTTATTGGCAAACAAATCAATGACATCGGGATTTTTCGTGTTGCACGACTCGCACACGATTTGCCACGAACTTGAAGTGTGAAACTCCTTTAACACGTTTTTAACGATCGTGCGGGTTGTGCCTTCATTTTTCTCGAAAACGGATATTGAAAATATCGTCGTCATGTTTAAAACGACGCACCACAGACAT